TGACTAAATAAAAAAGAAGTTTCTCTCTTTCCCATAAAAGCATGGAGGTATAAGCTTTCTAGAAGGAGCAGAGCAGCTTTGCTCCCCAAAGCTCTTAGAGACCTGGGCTCCACCTAGCACATTGTTCCTTTCTCCCTGTGTGTGAGCTCATGGTCCAAGGCAGCAGCTAGCGTTCCAGTCATCACATCTGCGTTCCTGGCAGCGGGATGGAAGAGGAGCCAAAGAAGGGAGGTCATTGACCTATCCCTATCCCTATCCCTCCCTTTTAAGGGAGGTTAACGGTGGGTGCTACGTGATGTGTCTGCTATGGCCGTACTAACAGTGAAGGAGGCTAGAGAAATAGTCTTTAGATTTGCCCAGTTAAACATAATTCTATCAGTGAAGAATGGGATAAGACATACTGAAAAGCATCCAGCTACTTTTGCCATGGCTGCCTCCTTCACCCGCCTCCCATTTCTCTTGCTTTCCAAATAGTGACTTCTTGGGGTCGTATTTTTAAAAGGCAAATACCTATGTGTTATAAAATTTACAAAATGTAAATATCAACAATTAAAATCACCCATGATTCCACATCCTAAAGGTAACACCTGAAACAGCATCGTGCAAGAAAGGTCCTTACCCCTGGCCAGTCTGGCTCAGTGGATAGAGTGTCAGTCTGTGGACTGAAGGGTCCCAGGTTCAATTCCAGTCAAGGGCATATATACCTTGGTTGTGGGCACATCCCCAGTAAGGGGTGTTCAGGAGGCAGCTAATCGATACTTCTCTCTCATCGATGTTTCTAACTATCCTTCTCCCTTACTCTCTGTAAAAAATCAATAAAATATATTTTTTTAAAAAGAAAAGAAAAAGTCCTTAACACTAATACAGGGCAAGCAAATCTGTCGACAGAGCATTAAGGTGTTTTTTTTTAAAGCACAATATGTTTATACTGTATATTCAATTATTCCTTCAGGAAACATTTTTAAACATCTTTTTTTGTTCCCAGTATCTTGTTAATTGATGTGTATGGGAACATACTTTATTTTATTTTTAAAAATATATTTTTATTTATTTCAGAGAGGGGGAGAGAGATAGAAATATCAATGATGAGAGAGAATGATTGATTGGCTGCCTCCTGCACACTCCCTACTGGGGATCAAACCCAAACCAAAGCATGTGCTCGTGACCAGAATTGAACCCAGGACCCTTCAGTCTTCAGGCTGTTGCTCTATCCAAGCATGTCAAACTCGTGGCTGGTGGGCCGCCCACAGGCTGTGAGTTCCTGTTTGCTCTATCCACTGAGCCAAACCAGCTAGGGTGGGGGAATATACATTATATTGTTGCTCTGAAGATAATTATAGTCTAGCATAGAGAGATAAGTTGGGAAATCAGTCAGGGCCCTATAAGTGTGTCATATTTGTGTTAATGTTTGTAAAGGTACACTAGAAAGCAAGAGATAAAAAGTAACGACACTTCCAAAACCGGTTTGTCTCAGTGGTAGAGCTTCGGTCTGCAGACTGAAAGGTCCCAGGTTCAATTCCAGTCAAGGGCATGTACCTTGGTTTCGGGCACATCCCCAATAGGGGGTGTGCAGGAGGCAGCTGGTCGATGTTTCTCTCTCATCAACGTTTCCAACTCTCTCCTTCTCTCTTCCTCTCTGTAAAAAATCAATAAAATATATTTGGGGGAAAAAAGTAATGACACTGGATATCTCTAATTGTAAAACAATTCATACTGTGGACATCATTTGTAAGAATGACACATTGAGAACACAGCTTATAGTTTTTAGTTGCCTGAGCATGAAATTTGAAATTACAAAGCTTTAGGATAGTGTGATTCAAGCAGTATTAGCAAATCATCCTAACCTGGTAAAATTCTAATCTCTCCTGATTCCCAGATTTAGGAGTCTAGAGTCCATTTGAATGTAATCCATCGTGACCTGGTCTTTTGTAAACTTCAAGTATAATTATGTGACAGTTAAAGTTCACTGAAAACATGTGATATGTTTTGTTGTGTTTTAAATCCTGATGTTAAATGAGTGCATTTAAAAAAATATTTTTGGAGAAAAACAAAAAAATTAACCTTTCCTGTTGAAAACGCTTAAGTGGGAAAAGTAAATATGTTAAGACATAGAAAGCCGAAACTGGTTTGGCTCAGTGGATAGAGTGTTGGTCTGAGGACTGAAAGGTCCCAGGTTCGATTCCAGTTAAGGGCATGTACCGTGGTTGCAGGCACATCCCCAGTGGGGGGTGTGCAGGAGGCAGCTGATCGATGTTTCTCTCTCATTGATGTTTCTAGCTCTCTATCCCTTACCCTTCCTCTCTGTAAAAAATCAATAAAATATATATATTTTTTAAAAAGACATAGAAAAATCTAGGAGTAACAACGAAATATCAGCAGTTGCCACTAGATGGCCAGATGAGTGACTTTCTGACTTAGTTTCTACCTGACATTTTTTTTTACAAACATGTACTACTTTTGTAAATGGAAAAAGATGTTTAAATTATTATTATTTTTTTTTTTTAAGAAACGTTCATCCATGGCACAGGCTGAGTGGAGAATCCCGTTCAAGGATAACTTCTTGTCCCAGGCCGAGCGCCCAGTGCCGATGCGAGTCCCGCAGGCGCTGCACCGCTCAGCCTGCAGGGAACAGTGGGGCCGATTGTGCCTCCCTCTCTCAGGTGCCCGGGGCCCAGGCGGCCGGGCCTCCACGCAAGAACACACGCTCTTTCATGCAGAAGGGACTGGCTGGCGTTATTTTTATTTTTTATTTTTTTTACTTCTGGCAGCCCTGGATTGAAGCACACACATGCATTTTCAAAAGCTCCCGGTTTCCTGTTTTCATTAAGAAAGCAGGGCATGCCGAACCCCTGAGTGTGCTGGGGGTGGCGCCGCCGGAGGCGGAGGGAGCCTCCATTGGTGCACGCTCGGCCTATGGTGTCTGCGCGTGGCCCTGGCTAAGTTTACCCAGATCCTTTCCTTATGGGGTGAAGAACCGGGGCCCGGGAGCCACGGAGCAAGCGGGGTGAGCGGGGTGTGCGGCGCAGCGGGGCGGGCCTGCGGGGAGCGGAGCGCAGGGTGCCCGGTAGGTGTGGGGGGAGCTGGCTGGCCAGGGGGCGGGCGGGCCAGCAAATCCGGCCGCTTGGGAGGGGGTGGGGGGAGGAATGGGGCTGGATTCCCTGGATTCCCCAGGAGCCAGGATCCTGCAGGGGGTGGGTGAGAGAGCCCCGGGCTGGCCAGTGGTGTCTGGGAGATCTGTCTCCCTCCGTCTGACACCAGAGCCTGCAGTTTCTCTTATTCGCTTGCGGAATTCCAGGCAGCGCTGGAAAAACAGGTCCGGCTGCATATTTTGCATGACGTGTTGTCCATGTGGAGTTAAAGGGAAGGGGAGATGGCAAGCCGCCCGTCTTGTGAGCCTGAGCACAGGTTTCCAGGCGCGGGCGCTCTCTGCATCCACGCACCCTTCTTTGGTTAGAAAATTGCTGGGTGCTGGGCACCCCCTGGAAGTGGGTCAGAGAATTGGAAGCGAATGCCTGAGTTCCAACAGCTGGAGCAGTCTGGTACTGTTTTTAAATCGGGGCACCAAGAGCACACAGCTTCTTACTCTGCCCTGCTTGGCAACCTTGTTGGTTGTGCTTTTCTTTCCAGTGTTTCAGAGGAAAGAGGGCAAACCGGGGATTGCTCAGAGCATTCCCTTATCGGGTAGAAATGTTGAATCAGTGGTGCGGTGGGGAAGGGCAGGCCGGCAGCCCAAACTGCTGGACATTCTGGGCCCATCTGTACAGCAGCCAGGCAGGGCTTGTGTTCCCGTGGCTTGTGTTTTCTCTCGGTGCTTTTTGGGTCCTTTCCACAAGCTCCGAAAAGGCAGCAGCGCTTCTCATGACAGCTCTAGGCAAATCCAGCGACTTAAACAAACAAAAAAAAAATGGCCTTGCTTTTCAGCTTGAAATGCATAGCTCAGGTCCAGCCACAAAGCTCTGTGTGCCTTGAAAAGGACTTGTGTTCCCTCTGCTAAGTGTCTGGTTTAGGCAGAAGTAGCATTTACCAGATGCCACATGATCCAGGGTTTGGACGGAGGCTTGCCCTTGTTTCCATCCTCCTTTGCATCTGTTTGCCTACACCACAGCTACAAAACAAGGTATTCTTGGGACAGTGGAGGTTTTGTCCAGAAGAAGTAAGTCAGAGTTGGAAGAAACTATTTCCTCTGGCTGGCACAGGGTTTGCCTTTGTTTTTAAAACGGGGAAAAACACAAGGCAGAGTTGAAGTGTGTGCTCTGCGTTCTTGCACCCCTGCTGCTGGCACTCCTCCCTCAGCCCTCTCAGGGAGGAAGGAGTCAAGGCCCGCTGTGATCCTGTGCAGGTGATCGGGCACTGGGACCCCTGGGCCACCGTTCAGTAAGGCCGCATAATCTGCACTAGGTCAGTTATGCTAAGGGTTTTGTGTGTTGTGTTTTATTTTTTGCCTTTTGTGCCTCAGAGTGTACTTTATGAAATAGGAGTGTTAGTGACTGCTATCATACTTCAAGGGGCTGTATACAACAACAAAAAATTATCTACTTGGAAATGCTTTTAAGTCTTTTAATGATTCTTTTAAAAAATAAAATTATTTAGTAAGGAATGGCTATGTTCTTGGCTCTTTAAAATCATTATCTCATTATATTGTTTTAACAGCTTTATGAGTTAAATGCTAGCATTTTCATTTTTTTTCTTTGGGGGGGTGGGGTGGTGGTGCAGGATGAGAGGTAACTGAGGTTCCCAAAGGTTTATTAGCTCACCCAGCTGTAAAGTTATAGATCCAGAATTCGAACATAGGTCTCTCAACTCATAACCATTTGTACACCATAAGCGTCTATAAATGCAAGCAGCAGACCTTTTTAACTTAAATTCAAAATATGGTGGCAGTTACCTGGTTAAATTATACCAGCTTAACACACACACACACACACACACACACACACATTAGCTTTTGCCGTTTTGTGTATTACATAGCATTAAAAAAGTGTCTTCTCTTTCTCCCTCAGGAAAAGCAGACGATGTTCTAAACGGGGACCATGACAAGGAACAGAAAGACCCTTATTTCGTGGAGACTCCCTACGGTTATCAACTAGACTTGGATTTCCTCAAGTACGTGGACGACATACAGAAAGGAAACACCATCAAGAAACTGAACATCCAGAAGAGGCGGAAGCCCTCGGTGCCATGTGCGGAGAGCAGGCCCCCGCCCGGCCAGCAGGGCGTGTGGACCTCCACTGAGTCCCTGTCCTCTTCCAACAGCAATGACAACAAGCAGTGCCCCGGCTTCCTCCTAGCCAGGGGCCAGGCGACATCCACTCCCGTCACAAGGCTGCCCGCCCCACTGGACATCTCGCCCACTTTCCTTGCCATCCCAGAGAGTCGCCAGCTGCCACCGCCCTCCCCGCAGCTCCCGAAGCACAACCTCCATGTCACCAAGACGCTGATGGAGACCCGGAGAAGGCTGGAGCAGGAGAGGGCCGCCATGCAGGCGACCCCGGGCGACTTCCGGAGGCCCAGGCTGGCCAGCTTCGGAGGCATGGGCTCCACGGGCTCGCTCTCCTCCTTCATGAGTTCCGGGAACCATAATCCGGTCATGCACCAGCTTCAGAATGGCTGCTACCAAGGCAACGGGGACTACAGTGGCTATGCCCCCGCCACCGCGGCCACCACCTCTTCCATGGGGAGCTCTGTCCGCCACAGCCCCCTGAGCTCGGGGATCTCCACGCCCGTGACCAACGTGAGCCCCGTGCACCTGCAGCACATCCGGGAGCAGATGGCCATCGCCCTGAAGCGCCTGAAGGAGCTCGAGGAGCAGGTCCGGACAATCCCCGTGCTCCAGGTGAAGATCTCGGTGTTGCAAGAGGAGAAGAGGCAGTTGGCCTCGCAGCTGAAAAGCCAGAACCAGAGGGCCGCGTCCCAGGGCGACCTCAGCAGCGGGGTGAGGAAGCGGTCCTACAGCGCCGGGAACGCGTCCCAGCTGGACCGGCTCTCCCGGGGCCCGAGGAGAGGCGGGGAGCTGCACATCGACGACGAGGAGGAGGAGGAGAAGATAGAGAGCGTGGAGCAGAGCACCCAGCGGGTGAGGGAGTTCCGGCAGCTCACGGCCGACATGCAGGCCCTGGAGCGGAAGATCCAGAGCAGCAGCTACGAGGCCCCCTCGGACCACCTCCTCCGGGAGAACGGGGAGGGCCGGCCTCCGGAGCGCCGGTCCGTGGCCGCGGGCGCCGACGAGAACATGCACGACGTGGTCCTGTACCGCAGGGGCCCCGGGTCCCGGAGAGACGCCGCCGTGGGGACCCCCGTCACGGAGACGAGGGATTCCGGGGTCGGCGTGACGGAGGCCATGCTCGGGGTGACCACCGAAGCCGACAGGGAGATTGAGCTGCAGCAGCAGACCATAGAGGCCCTGAAGGAGAAGATCTACCGCCTGGAAGTGCAGCTCAAGGAAACCACCCACGACCGGGAGATGACCAAGCTCAAGCAGGAGCTGCAGGCCGCCGGGTCGAGGAAGAAAACCGACAAAGCCACGATGGCCCAGCCGCTGGTCTTCAGCAGGATGGTGGAGGCCGTGGTGCAGACGCGGGACCAGATGGTGGGCCGCCACGTGGACGCGGTCGACGCGTGCGTGGGGACCTCGGTGCAGACGAGCAGCGTCGGCACCTCCTGCCGGCCCCTGTGTGAGGACAAAGCCACGGGGCCCGAGCTGCCCATGCATTGGTGGATTGTGAAGGAGAGGGTGGAAACGCGTGACCAGGGCACGGGGAGGGCGGTGGAGACGTGCGACAAGGGCGCGGGGGCGGAGATCAGCGTCTGCGAAACGGGCAGCAACACGGAGGAATCGGTGAACGACCTGGCGCTGCTCAAGACCCACCTGAACCTCAAGGACGTGCGGTCCATCGGCTGCGGGGACTGTTCCGTCGACGTGATCGTCTGCCCGCCCAAGGAGCGCGCCTCCCGGGGCGTGAGCACGGAGCCCGCGGCCCGGGCGGAAGCCGCCGTCATGGCCGTGCCCCGCACCGCCAGCCGGCACACCAGCACGGCCGTGGAGCAGGCGAGCCGGTCCACCAGCACCGAGGCGGCCGCCCTCGTCGAGTCCTGCACCAACACCTCCTCCCTCAGCACATCGGACAAGCAGACCAGCACGGGGAGCGTGGAGACGCGGACCGTGGCGGTCGGAGAAGGCCGCGTCAAGGACGTGAACCCCTCCGCCAAGACGCGGTCCGTCGGAGTGGGCACGGTGCTCTCGGGCGGCTCTGGGCTGGACAGGCCCTCGGCCGTGAAGACCAAAGAGTCCGGCGTGGGCCAGATCAGTATCCACGACAACTACCTGGTGGGTCTCAAGATGCGGACCATCGCCTGCGGGCCGCCCCCGTTGACCGTGGGGCTGACGGCCAGCAGGAGGAGCGTAGGTGTCGGGGATGAGCCCGTAGGGGAGTTGTCGGAGGGCCCCTATCCCCAGGCTCCTTCCGGGATGGTGGCCGGCCTGGATCACTACATCGAGCGCGTCCAGAAGCTGCTGGTGGAGCAGCAGACGCTGCTGGCCGAGAACTACAGCGAGCTGGCGGAAGCGTTTGGGGAGCCCCACTCGCAGATTGGCTCTCTCAACTCGCAGCTCATCAGCACCCTGTCGTCCATCAATTCCGTCATGAAGTCTGCGAGCACCGAGGAGCTGAGGAACCCCGACTTCCCCAAGACGAGTCTGGGTAAAGCCGCCGGTAGGTAGCGGGACCTGGGGGTGAGGAAGGGTGGGGACTGTGTTTCTAGAACACATTTCAAAATGGTGAGAACCCTTGGAGTGGTGATTTGGTAGAATGATTGAAAACCGTGGTTTAAATCTGCTGTTTCTCATTGTGACCGGTAGCTTTCTTCGGCCTCTGCCTGAGGACTGAGGCTAGAAGAAGAAAAGCAAACGAATGCTGGCTGGCCTAGGGGTTCTCTCTCCTGGGACTGCTAGTTTGATATGATGTCTCCCGGTTATTTATTTATTTACTTGCTCATTTAATTTAGGCCAGGCTTACCAAAAGGTCCTTTCATGTTTGTAACCCAAATTACCAGTGTATTATTATTTTTTTTAACCAGTATATTATTGATTAAAAAAAAAATACTGGTAGAAAATGTCGATTAAAACTTCCTGTGAGGGGAAGGAGACTCCATTAATTCATATTAATCCAGCAAATAATGATTGAATTCCAGCTCTGTTTCAGGCGTAGGTGTCAGCTCCTGTCCTGACATTCCAGTCGGAGGCACATAAACAGTAGACCTAAACGGTATCAGGTGGTGGTACGTGCTATGAAGAAAAGAACTCCAGGTGTAGGAATAGTGAGGGGCGGTGGTCTGAGTGGGGGCTGTGTGAGATGGGGTGGCCCAGGAAGGCCTCTCTGAGAAGCCGAGACTCGGAGAGAAGGGTGCCCTAGCCCACTGTGTTGTTTTGATCGGTGCTTACAGTTTTTGTCTTCCTCATCCTTGCCCTTTTCTTCATTGGGATTCCTGCTCACCCCCTGATTTTTTTTTTTTAATTGAAGTTAATAATTGAGAAATTAGCCTGGAAGGTTTCATGACATACAATATTTCCCTGGAAGCCTCACTAAAATGGCTTCTCTTGTTATTAAAGTGGCGTGTCTCGCGAAGTGTGCTAGTACCCTCTCAGGATGGGCCTTCATTCAGGCTGTCCTGGTCTCACGAGCCAGCGTGACCTGGGGAAGCAAAGTCCGCCTTCTGTGCAGGGCATTGTAAAAGGGGGACCGGAAGGGCTCCCATCCTAGAAGGTTGTCAGCGTGTTGATCCCTGGCATGCGGGGAGCACAGGGCCACTGCTGTTGTCCGGGTGGTTGTGCTGGTAGCATGTCGAATGTGGTTTCCTTTGTTGACGTGCTAACCTGCAGTGTGAGGTTCGGGAGGCCACTGCAAGCCTATCCTCAACTCTGGCCAAAGGCGACATGCAGAACGACTGTAAATGCTTCGTGTGATTTGTGTGATGTAGATGAAATTTAAACTTATTTTCATTGATGGTTTTTAAAGAGTGAGGAAAATGGAGAAAGAGAAACATCGATGTGTTGTTCCACTTATTTATTCATTCATTGACTCTTGTATGTGCCCTGACCGGGGATCAAACCTGCAACCTTGATGTATCGGGATGACACTCTAACCAACTGAGCTACCCGGTCAGGGCCCTAATATGCATTAAATCTAATTGTTATGTGAAAATGCCCAGTATTTTAGACTTACCTGTAAGTAAGCCATTAACAAGAATTTCAAAGTCTTTCTGTTTCTCTCTATAGACTACAGCAGTGGTCGGCAAACGCGTTAGTCAACAGAGCAGCAAACCACGGCTCTCGAGCTGCATGTGGCTCACGAGCCGCAGTTTGCCGACCACTGGCCTAAAGAGGAGTAGTAGCTGAAATGAACTGAAATATCTTTTATGTCTCCCTAGGTTTCCACTTTCAATGCTGAATCAATATTAGCTTTTCGTAACTGTGCTGGGGAACAGACAGTTTATTGTAGGAGAAAAAACGGACGTGACCATGACAGCTGATGTGTGCGTTTTTGCCTTTTAGAATCAAAGGAGTCTCATAAATGTCCAGGGGAGTCATTTTAGAGTAAACAGGATTAAAATGATATGTGGACTGAAGCAAGAGTCTTAAGTAGCTAATAATATGTCTGTTTCCACTTCTTTTTTAAAAATCATGATGTCAGATGTTGAAGTCAAAATAAAACCCTTAAATACACTCCAGACACAGATGGCACAGTAGATCATCCATTATAAAGGCGTTTTCCTGCCAGCCTTCCTCCCTCCTCCCCAAACGGGGGCTTCCATTTCACATTCTTGCCAAAAATATTCAGCTGAGCCATTGGAGTAATCTTTGTCTGACACCCTGAGCAGCAAGAGGGGGAAGAGAGTTGTGTCTGGCTATGTGACAGTGTGTTTTGGTCTATTTCCAGTCACAGCGGTGTTCCACACGTCTCTGTTTAGATGTGACCCTGCACAGGAATACCTAATTCATCGGCTAAAATGCACAAGCGCCACAGCATTGGCGAACAGAGTATAAATATATTCAGTAACACTTGTTGGGTCATAGTGGCAGCTCTCTCTCAGAACACACAGGAACAACTTCAAAGTATTTCTGTAATCCCCACATCACATTTGTGTTTTAAGCGTCTTGCTTTTAAAGTTCCAATGAAGAAGGAATTTGGTTAGGAACTCAACCCAGAATGTGAAATGTTTTGTTACATGAACTGAAAAATGAAAGCAGCTTGATCCATGGTCTAGGGTAGGGGTGTCGAACTCAAATCAGAGAAGGGGCCAAAATCTAAAATCCAGCCTAAATCGCGGGCCGAATGGTTTACTGAACAGTCATAAACTGTCATTGTGATGGAAACGCAGCGGAGCGCAGTGATGACAGCGCGGTGCGGGCCACATTGCAAGGCCTGGCGGGACGGATTTGGCCCGCGGGCCTTGTGTTTGACACATGTGGTCTAGGGAGAGTGTCGGTACTTGCAAGCTGTGAAGATTAAAGATGTGTCAGAATGCCCTGTGGTTTACTGTGCACACCATGTAATAGACAGCACTGCTCACACACAGTGTTTCATGCATTGCTGTACCAAAAGGCATACTGGACTTATAGGAAGGTATTCATTTCAGACTTTCTCTCCCAAATAAAATGATAGGGAATTTGGGTTTGACATCTACCAAAAAGATCATATAAGTGATTATGTATGTTATGTCAGCCTAATACTTCAGTGCGAAGGAGCTATTAAGTTTGGGCTCCAAAGCCAGATATTCATTGGGTTCAAATTCTTTCTCTGCCACTAGGACAACTTGTCTTCGTGCCCTCACAGGGTTGAAATGAAGATTTAATGAGTTAGTAAGAGGAAAGCATGTGGAACAGCCTGCAGCACGGAGTATATGAATGCCCAATAAGTGCTGGCCGTCGTTGCTGTTACTGCTTTTAGTACTTCCAGAAGTGGAAATAAATGTGGATGTAGAACCAATTGCCAAACAGAAATTGTACAAGTGATGTTCTGTTTTTAAATCCAAATTTTCATCTTCATTATTCTGGCTGGCCATTGCCTTCTTCCCCCAATTATATTATGCCTCCCCATCTAACAGTTTTACCAAAATTAAAAAATATATATATAGATAAAAATGGGAAAATACAAAGTGGGAAGAATAAATTTTCAGTTCAGGCTCACTCAGAGTCTGTGTGAAAGCCCAAAACGAAGCCAAAATTAAATTAAGTATATTAGTGTCCAGTCTAGAAAATTCTCTTAAACTTGCGTACGGTTGTAGAGTTGATGGTATAACTTGTTGGTATGCAAAAGAGCATTATTTTTTAGCAGCATTATTATGCCTAAATGCCTACCATTTTCTTAAAATTATAACGAGTACATGCTCATAACAAATAGCAGTTCAGAAGACCATAAATAAAGAATGACAGCCTCTCCCTCACACCCTCAGGGAGTAACCTGTGTGTGCTTGGTGTATATAAGTGTGTATGTGAGTGGGACTGTATTTTAGAGGCATACTTTTTTAAACAAAAGTTGAATCCTGCACATTCTATGCATTTGTCACGTAACATATCACAGACATTTTTTCCTGAATTTGGTGCTGACCAAAGATATTCTATAAAATACTTCTTAATTCTTAGTAATTGAACTTGCATGTATTCTTTAAATAGGTAATAAGGAAATTGTAATTTTAAGATTTTTAAGAAGAAAATAAGTTTCTGCCGAAACCGGTTTGGCTCAATGGATAGAGCGTCAGCTTAGGGACTGAAGGGTCCCGGGTTCGATTCCGGTCAAGGGCATGTACCTTGGTTGCGGGCATATCCCCAGTAGGGGATGTGCAGGAGGCAGCTGATAGATGACTCTCTCTCATCGATGTTTCTAACTCTCTATCTCTCTCCCTTCCTCTCTGTACAAAAATCAATAAAATATATTTTTTTAAAAAGAAAAGAAAATAAGTTTCTGTTATCAAAGAAACTTTAGGAAAAGGATGGTTATGCTTCCTATAAATCAATTGGATTGTTTTGAGGAGTGGATTAATATTTCTTTTCTTTTTTCTTCTTTCTCTCTGGAAGAGGAAACAGGAGAGAAAATTCTAGACAAATGACATGCAGTTACAAATACTCTAAATATATTATAACTGTCTCTGAGGAAATACGAGCAAAGCTATCTATAATGGCGGAACTGAACTGCCTGCCACATGAGCTATAGAAAATTTCTCTCTCACACTCACACACAAGAACTGCGTTTTCAATCAGCTTCCACATTTGCACTCTTCATTATCTGGGGTTTGTTAAAAAGTTTGTGAACTTGAAGTCATCCCCATAACTGTGAAAGCAGTTTTGTAGGCAGAGATGTGAGCCAAAGCAAAAGCAGGGAAATAAATAGTTACAAAAATACCATTTCTAGTTAATTTTCTCCTCGTTCAAATAATCACCAGTTACTTGTCCTGGTACCTATTTTTTTAAATAAAATAATAATAATAATAATAATAATAATAATAATAATAATAATTGTCTTTTAATCAATGCTATAAGAGCATCAGAGTGTTCCTGGCACCTGCAGTGTGTACTGTCATGAGGTAGGCAGCTGGCTCCTGGCACCTCTGCCCAGGAGCTGGGAGAATCCCTGTGGAAAGGGGGAGCCTGGGCTCCCATGTCCTTCTATGTCGTGAGAAGGATGCGTTAGATTTTTCATGCAGGGGGCTCTTTCAG